TTAAAACATGAAACTTCCTAAGCCTCAGTACAGAGCATCCTGACGCGAAGCTATAAAAGCTATGATAGTTCAAAGTTCATTACCCATCTTGGTACAAGATCACAAGAACTCATTTCTATCTTTTTCGATTCCAATGTCAATTCAAAACTCAGAAAACTTAATGATGTCCTCTCTACTACTTTGGCTGTCCATGCTCCAATTAAAGAGGTCAAGATTCGACGTCGATCCTGTCCATTTGTTACTGCTGACATCAAAAAACAAATGATCTACAGAGACCAGCTACATCGTCGATACAAACAGACACGAGAAATGGAGGACTGGAAGAACTTTAAAACAGTCCAAAAATCAATCAAATCCACCTTAAAAGTCGCAGAGAAAGACTACGTCCGTACTGAAGTTAATACACATAAAGACAAACCTGGGTCACTTTGGAAAGTAATTCATAGCCGCATTCCGTCAAGAGACAAAACAACCCCAATATACAGCAAAAACCAGGAAGAGGTTGCCAACGATTTTAACAGTTTTTCCAGTCAGTAGGGATAACAGCCGCCGAAACAGCTACGCAACTGGCCTTAGATAATAACATCAATATATCTTCCATGTCTGCCTGTGAAATCAAGAACCTACAATGTCCGATCGAAGAGTCATTCCACTTCATACCTGTTACCTGTGCGGAAATTGAACGCATACTAACATCTATGCCATCAAATAAATCACCAGGTCCCGACAAAATCAGTATGAGAACTATTAAAGACTGCCTCCAAGTAATCTTAGGCCCCCTGACGGATATCATCAACAGTTCATTTACAACTAATACGTTTCCAGAAGCCTGGAAAATAGCAGAAATCATACCAATATTAAAGAAGGGGATCACGAAATAGCCTCCAACAACCGTCCCCTCTCAATGCTCAATGTAATCTCGAAGGTATGTGAGAAAGCGGCCTTAAATCAATTCACGAGTTTTTTAAACCGGACCGGCCACCTTACGGCACACCAGAGTGGAAACAGAAAGTACCATTCAACGGAAACCCTCAATATATTAGTAAACGATTTTTTCCTGAACGCAATGGATAACAAAGAGCTATCTGCCCTTATTCTGTTAGATCTGTCCAAAGCCTTCGATAGCATCGACCACACAATATTGCTTCAAAAACTAAGCAATATTGGAGTATCTCGTAAGGCTCTAAATTGGTTTAGAAGCTACCTTTCAGACAGAAAGCAATACGTACGCATTGGCTCTGCAGTATCAGAAACTCTTTCAATCACTCATGGCGTCCCACAAGGGGCAATATTGTCACCTCTGTTATTTTGCATCTATATAAACGACCTTCCAACAGCACCAAAAACAGCTAAGTTAGAATCATTTGTGGATGATTCGAAAATATTCATGTCCTTTCCAATCACGAATATAATCGATGCAAAAAGTAACATAGAAGAGGATCTTAAGAGGATTGCAACATGGTGATTCGCAAATAAGCTGTTAATTAACCCTGAAAAGACAAAATTAATGCTAATAGGCACTCGACAGTTAATCGGAAACCTTACTGAAGGACTGGTTATCTCGTTCCTAGGAAAAGAGATCACACCTTCCTCTTACGCCAAAGACCTAGGGCTATTCATGGACAGTTATTTAAGTTATGATCATCATATACGACACGTCATATCATCTTCAATGGCAAAATTGTACCAAATAAATAGAGTAAAGGACAGCTTCGATAGCGAAACCCTCCACACGATTGTCAATGCCCTAGTGATGAGCAGATTGTATTACTGCTCTACGGTGTGGTCGAATACATCGGCAACAAACATAAAAAAACTCGAAAAAGTACAAAATTTTGCTTGTAGGATCATAACAAATACAAGGAAATACGACCACATAACACCAGTACTACAGGCGATCGGTTGGCTCCCAGTCAAGGAACATTTACAGTACAGAGATACACTAATGGCTTATAAATGCATGAACGAACTTGCACCGCCGTACTTATGTGACCAGTTTTTAAAACGAAATGCAGTTCACAACAAGAACACCCGGAATAAAGACGACCTTGACATTCCCCCATGCAAAACAACATCAGGTCAAAGAAGTTTTTGCTATAGAGCAATAAAAATCTGGAACATTTTAGATAAAGATTTTAAAAAACTACCTTTTAAAACATTTAAGAAGCACTTAAAGAAAAATATGTTAACAAATAACGTTAACGGAAACCTATCTTAGTTAAAGTATTAAAATCTTAGTATAACTATATAACTAGGATTTCTCTTAATTGTAAACATATTTTATAAACATAGCATAGTCAATAACGTAATTGTAGATAGAAATATACCTATTTTTAGCCTTGTTAGTACATACTGAAAAGCCCTATTGGGAGTATGTTTTATGTATAATAATAATAATAATAATAAAGCCATCAACAGTGACTGTTTTACATATACATTTTGATCCATATTATATTCCACATGCATTCATTTCAAATCTTCGGTAAATCTGTGCCCTCTTTAAATGCATTGGCCAATTGACAATTTATATGCTAGAATACAGTAGCCAGTAGGTATAAATGTATAATGCATTAATTCGTTAAAAAAGATTCTAAAGATATTCCAAGTTCATTAGAAATGTGAAAAGAGGTTACATAACAAGTTGAATACATAATTATTATATTACAAAATGCTTACTTACATGCAAACCTATTGGACTTGGATTCAAGTTTCAGCAACATGCTGAGACAACGGATGTTTTCCTGGCCTTTTTTTAACGGCTGGTAGTAGCATCAGGCTCTAGATGTCTTTGAAAAGGTGTTTTAAAAACACAAATATGTATCATAACCTGTTGGACATAACCCATGAGGTTGCATGTAGATGGCAATAACACAAAGAACACTAAATATGATTATTGCCAAGCAATCTCCGTAACCCCCTCCTCTCTATCTCTCACAGTGTGCAACACCATACATGAATTATAATAATTATTGTAATATGGTATAATATAACAAGACGGCTGTTCTGGCGTTAACTCCGGCGTGCCCGCCGTGCCGTGCGCGTGCCGGTCTTCAATGTAAAGCTTCGGAACATAAACAATAAAGTTCATACTCATTTAGATGCCTTGCCAACCTAAATGTTATTCGATCGCGAAATTCAGAAGCACATCGTACTTTAAAAAGTATAGAAGCTCAATTGTTCAAAAATGTGAATAAACCGCATGATACGTTCGCTTTGTCTTGCACTTTGCCTTTGGAATTCGTGCTTGTATAGTTATATTAAATCTTCAATCCTGTGCAAACTACGACGTGTCAACGCGCCCATGCACGACCACATCTTGTTAAACGGCGAAATAGCAGCGATATTATTAAAATGGGACCAGAATCTACATGTATTAAAATATATTCTTACCCTAATTAAATCTAAACTTAATCGAACACCATCAAAAGAACTGTTTATTTGTTCCTCTTGGAGGAATTGCCGTATCATGCGAGCGAAATCGAATCGCGCATCGGAAAGTTAGCCAAAGCTGTGCACCACAGCTCTTGGGAGACAAGACTGTGACGTAGATAAATACGATCACACACACATTTCAAATACTAGTATATTTCGCGCCAAAAGACACTTGCGACGACGAAAAACATAAAAAAACTAAAAGCAAAACAAAACCGAAGCGAATCTTCAACTTCATCGCTCACGCCGGAGTAATTATTATATCGTGTATAATTATATGAATTATATTTTAGATTAAATTTTAATCTCCATTAGGTATGGTGGTTCATTGACCCAGACATCCATCTGCAAGAGAAGATAGCTTTAGTTGCCTGCTAGACTACATTTAAAGAGTATTCAAGCAGACATCTCCATAGGTTACCCGAAAATGTGTTTTTTCATGGCATTAATCCACAATTAGTATTTTGATTCGTTATAATTTGCATTACATGAAGTAGCTCACGCATTCAAATTAGAAAATGTCAATGATCTCTTATGTATGAAATATATACAAGGTTGGCAAGTATATTACTGTTTACAAATAATATTGATCAATAAAAAAATGCATAAAAAACACTTCAATCTCTTAAAAAAACACCTCAGTATGAGCACGAGTAAATTTTAAACATGTATCCTGGCCCAGTTAACATGCATAAAAAGTATTTGAAATATACATACTGCATGACATTTAAAAACATAGAAACATGCGCATACATACATTTTAATGTAAGTTAATGGAAAATATACCAGCCTAATGTACTCAGCAGAATAAAATTGCAACGCTTACGAACTGACTTACTTTGAACATTTTCCCCCAAGCGGCGATAAATCCAAACCATATATCAGGACTTGAAGATGCTATTGTAAGGATAATTTTATCATCAGAATATGATAACGGTCGATAGATATTATTATTAGCATATTTAAGAACAACAAGAAAGATTCACTGACAGTCTACTCTAAAAACGTACTTAATATTATATAAAATGCAACCAAATTCTGTAAAAAAATATTACCGTTAAATGAGAACTTCTTCAGCGGTTGCTCCAGGTCTTTCATAAGGCCAAAAAACCACCTAAAACGCAAGAATGCACGAGTAAAACGCCGAAAAGCTCGATTTGTCAGAAATCGTATTTCTGGCAGAAAATATTTGCATTTTCAGCCAGACGCTCTATTGTGAGCGAAGATATTCTTTATTTATTGAGATAATTCTTGTACATTAATATAAAGAACCCGTGTTAAAATAATGTCAGCATGTCAGTCCTCTCGCTTGAGTTCAATGAGCACTCTCAAGCCCTCTGACCTATGCCTGCGTTATCTACACTTCATGTAACAGTCACTACAATCTCCATTTCTCCGTCGCGTCCTCCCCAAAATTCCTTGCGCGCTCGCTTTGCGGAGCCACTGATCTATGTAAGAGCCTGTAGTGTTCCTCTACTTATTTCATTTAGAGCGCTTGGGAACGAGGCTGATTTCGGTAAGCATTACAGCATCCGACCAGTCTTGCAATTCAAGCTCACTTCATATCCGACATTACGTCATTGCGTAAATGTATTTAATTACGCAATATCATTGTTTGGTCGTGTCGAGCCTTTGAGCAAGGATATTATAGAATTAAATCACCTTCTAAAATAAAACATTTCAACGACCATAGGATATACGAGAAGATGCTAACTACCGCATCATTTTATCAAATCGTTCTTAGTTTAGTTGCTATACTTGTTGTGTATAAGATTCTGAAATATTTCACTGGCACTGGCATCAAGCATAATGAAGTGCCACCAAACATGCTATCTTCAAGTCATCGTCAACTGGGATTTTTCGAGCAATTGTTCGATATTTTTTCCATGGAAAGCTTAGGCTCGAGCAACATCTGTATCGCGATATCAATAAAATCGAAAGTTAACCTGGTACATCGACATGTTCGCGAGGCTTTGATACTGCTGGTCAAACGACAACCAATGCTTCGGGCAGTCATAACAACAATGTCGAACGGGGATAAATATTTCATAGTGAAGGAGATTGATGAAGCTATTGCTATGTTAGATATCACCACTTTAGACGTAAAGTCCTCAGACTGGAAAGATATCTGGTATGAACATACTTCAAAGCAGAGAACCAGCGATGGGCTGTTATGGCGGGTTGTAATATTGAAAGAGGAATTTTTAACAGATACTAAGGATTATGCAAATACATTAGTGTTTAACTTTAATCACTCGTGTATTGATGGCGTGTCTTGTGTGAAGCTTTGCCAACAATTACTCGCTCGGATGAACGAATTAGCGAATGGCTCTAGCTATGTTGAGGATCAAATATGCAGCCTTGATCTGCTGCCGTATTTTCATAATATCATCATACGCGGACGAATTTGGCATTCGTTGTTTAATTTTGTTCTTACATACTCTGGCCTGCAACCTATACTTAATTACTTGATGAAGAAAATGCTTGTTCGAGTCATGAAGAAAAAGCCACTGAATCCTTATTATGCGCAGTTTTCGAGGAATATAGAAACTCCTCAAGATGGCCACATAAAGCTACCAGTAATAAAGGAGTTCAGTAAGGACGAAACAATAAAGTTTGTAAAAGCGTGCAAAGCCAATTATTGTACTGTAACTGGAGCTATCACAGCTGCAATACACCTAGCATTCTGTTCCCTTCTTCAAAATGACCAGTCGAAGGATCTCGTATTTGATTATATGTTTGCAATCAATTCTCGTCGCTTCTGTAATCCGAAACCAGACGAAGACTACCTCGGTGTCTTTATGTATAACTCAGATTATAGTCTAAAGTATGCGGATAACCTAAACCCTAATTTTTGGAACCTGGCACAACAAATATCTCAAAATTTAAAAGATATCGTAAGAAACGAGGCATTTGTCCCACAAATGACGGTGTTAGATAAAGCATTAAAGCCAAGGGAATTGATGAGTCATGTCTTTGACCCAAATTACTTGGACAAAGCAATGTGCAATTACATTACCAGTTTTGGTTCTTTTCATGTTGATGACGATAAATTTGAGCAATCCACGGTTTATAGCCTGAGTAACTTTCTCACGAATACACTTACACGCGACACGAATTTCAACTTTGGTCATTTTGTATACTCGATTGATGATCGAATGACCTGGCAAATAGTAAGTGATGTTGCCTTAGATAATGGCCATGCTGATAAATTTTGCAAACTTTGTTTTGATAAGCTTATTGAAATATCAAGTAGTATGGCGTGATGTGTATAGTTTAATATACTTTACTGAAGTTTATGTTCAGAAAAGTAAGGTCGTGCACTAGAAACGTGCAAAAATTTCAACAATTTTAAATCAAGAAGTCTATCCATTGTTATAAGAATTACTGATTCACATGTAGAAGCCACTGTAACCTGTTTTTCAAGTTTAAATTATTCAGTTCAGTATTGTATCCTTGATATGATTTAATATAGTGATTGAAAATGTAAAGAAGCCGTTTGTTTACATGCATGCATGCATTAGCGACTGTAACCCACCTTTAAAGTTTTTAAATCCAATTATATCTCCTTTGCATAATAGCGCATCTCGGTCGTTTTATATTGTGAACTTTTTCAAGCTGAATAAAATTTTTGTCATTTATATCAAGTTTTATTTCTGTTCAAATGGACCAAAGAAGTGCTTAAGTCATGGCAGCGTGAAGCAATTAATTGTTTTGCACGTAGGACATGAGGGGAAAATGGCCCGTGACATTCATATGGAACTATAGACAGTGAATAAGTAAGGTTTTTAAACCGTCTATATGAATACATGGACTGATGGGCGGCTCACTTTTGAAAAGAGCGTTTTGTCTTTATCTGAAATTTGTTCAGCGCTTGGATATGAGGCTGCCTTCCTCTGTTACGTTTTTTCCACCTGCGTATTGGCAGGTAAAAGTTTAAAATGATAATTATGAAATCGGCGATTGAATAGATGCATTGTGTTGCATCGCAGCATACTTCTTTTTTTAGCTTTTCGTCTTCGTGAACAACAAAACTATTGACACGCGGCGGCGAGGGAAATACTAATTTTTCTTGAAAAATGAATAGGCCAAAATGCATTTCGCATACCAAAGAAGTTGATTTCGAAAGCTAAGACCACCTCCAAGCCCTTTTCACAATGTAAATTTTTCATATCACCCTCTATTGTGTAGGAAGAACGCTTTTAGTTTATACAGAAAAATCCCAACAATAATATGAACATAGAAAGTAATGTCAACATCCTAAGTTCTCTCCCTCGAGTCTCATGTGCTCTGTCGAGCCCGCTGTCCTATGCCTGCTTATTCCTAGTCACTTACGTACACTTCATGTAACAGCCAGAGCTTTATATACAGGGTGTATAAAAAAACTGCAAATACCATAATATGTATGCACTTTAGAATTTCACTGACTGTGCAACTAATTACGCTTCTGGGATCAATTTTAATAGTGTTCAGGCTACCAAAACAAAGGCCGAGAACAGATGAAATGGGCACGGGTACCCATTTTAGCCGTGTTGTGCCAATAAATCGAGTGTAGTGTAAATGGGGCTATAATTTACATGTTGTCCACTTGGCTGACTTCCGAATAATTCTCCCACGGGCAATAGTACCAGTGCAACCTTATCTGACCCAGTGAAATGAAGGCGCGTGTCTGGAGGTAAAGTCCGGACTCCGGCGAATTTTGGCTTCCCAAAAACAATGAGGGGGTATCATTCCGGTTATTTATTAGAGTTCACTGATCTGACCCGATCACCTGACTTAATCAACCAACCAAATAAAATTTATTGTATTTAGAATATATAAAGATCTATTGTTTTCTACACAGGCATTATGTTCGTTGTTTTCATGGCCGGGAAAATGTCTTTTGAAATACAGGGTGTCCCAAAAAAAACGCAACACTTAAATATGCAAGAATATTAATATTGTTCGGGTTTGCACCATAGTTCAGCTAAAATGACTTTTAGCTTTGTAAATGAAGGATTAAGAGCCATTTTCAATTCCCAGAGGTGCTTATCTATTGCGCTTTGGAGCTGTATTAATGTTCTGCATATTTAAGTGATTGCTTTTTTTTGGGGACACCCTGTATATTACTTCGTCCTTTCATAATGCGACAAAAAATTGACCCTTGACCCCGATAGAAACCTGAAGGGGATTCTCCATTACCGTCCGCTAAAAAACTCCAATGGGACCGTCACGGGCCTCAAAAACAAAGCGCCTTACGTTTCAAAGTTTTTTATTCACACGACCTTTTTAGGTAAGCCTTAGCGCATCCGATTTGCCTTCAAGTTCACTTCATATCCGAAATACGTCATGCGTACAAGTATTTAATAATTAAGCACTGAATAATTATCAATAATTGGTTGTGTGTCGCCCTTTGAACTATAGGATCATACCTTTGTTTATAACTAAATAATCTACTAAGATAAAACATTTTAATACTTCTTGTGGCTATAGGATATACGAGAAGATGCTAACTACCGCATCATTTTATCAAATCCTTCTTAGCTTAGTTGCTATATTTGTTGTGTACAAGATTCTGAAATATTTCACTTACACGGGGCTCAAGCGTAGTGAAATGCCACTAAACATGTTATCGTCAAGTCATCGTCAACTTGGACTTTTCGAGAAAATCTTCGATATTTTTTCCATGGAAAGGTCAGGCTCAAACAACATCTGCATAGCGATATCAATAAAATCGAATGTCAGCCTGGTGCATCGACATGTTCACGACGCTTTGATACTGCTGGTCAAACGACAACCAATGCTTCGAGCAGTCATAACAACAATGTCTAACGGGGATAAATATTTCATAGTAAAGGAAATTGAAGAAGCTATTGCGATGTTAGATATAACCACTTCAGACGTAAAGTCCTCAGACTGGAAAGATATCTGGTATGAACATACTTCAAAACAGAGAGCCAGCAATGGGCTGTTATGGCGGGTTGTGATATTAAAAGAGGAATTTATAACAGATACTAAGAATTATGCAAATACATTGGTGTTTAACTTTAATCACTCGTGTATTGATGGCGTGTCTTGTGTGAAGTTTTGTCAACAATTACTCGCCCGAATGAACGAATTAGCGAATGGCTCTAGCTGTGTTGAGGAGGAAATATGCAGTCTTGATCTGCTGCCGTATTATCATAATATCATCATACGCGGACGAATTTGGCATTCGTTGTTTAATTTTATTCTTACCTACTCTGGCCTGCAACCTATACTTAATTACTTGATGAAGAAAATGCTTGTTCGAGTCATGCAGAAAAAGCCACTGAATCCTTATTATGCGCAGTTTTCGAGGAATATAGAAACTCCTCAAGACGGCGCAAGAAATTCACCGGTAATAAAGGAGTTCAGTAAGGACGAAACAATAAAGTTTGTAAAAGCGTGCAAAGCCAATAATTGTACTGTAACTGGAGCTATCACAGCTGCAATACACCTAGCATTCTGTTACCTTCTTCAAAATGATCAGTCGAAGGAACTCGTATTTGATTATATGTTTGCAATCAATTCTCGTCGCTTCTGTAATCCGAAACCAGACGAAGACTACCTCGGTGTCTTTATGTATAACTCAGATTATAGTCTAAAGTATGCGGATAACGCAAACACTAGTTTTTGGAAGCTGGCACAACAAATATCTCAAAATTTGAAAGATATCCTAAGAAACGAGGCATTTGTCCCAGAAATGACGGTGTTAGATAAAGCATTAAAGCCAGAGGAATTCGTGAAGAACGTCTTTGACCCAAATTACTTGCACAAAGCAATGTGCAATTACATTACCAGTTTTGGTTCTTTTCATGTTGATGACGATAAAGTTGAGCAATCCACGGTTTATAGCCTGAGTAACTTTTTCACGAATACACTTTTTATAAGCGACACGAATTTCAACTTTGGTCATTTTGTATACTCGATTGATGATCGAATGACCTGGCAAATAGTAAAAGATGTAGCCGTAGATAATGGCCACGCTGATAAATTTTGCAAACTTTGTTTTGATAAGCTTTTAAAAATATCAAGTGGTATTGCTTGATCATATAAATCATATAAAAGGTACAATAATTGAATACTTAATTGAACTTAAAGGTAGGTTACATGCAAAGGCTTCTGCTAGTTCTGCATGTGCATAGGTTATGCTTATAATTCAATTGCATGATAATCGAAAAACAACACTCCACGTACCTTTATACGACTGTGTTTGTTTGAAAAAATTTGAAACACCACTTATCACCTCAGTATATATATAGGCTTTATATAGTCATTTCAAATTATATACTTAGAAGGTTAGGTCTGGCTATAGCTCAGGAAATATTTTGCGTGTTGCATGCATGTATTTCTAGTAGTAAATATTGTTTTATAGTACGCACAATTTTGCGAAAAGGAAGTATTTTTTTTCTCTTTATCAAACTTGTTCAACGCGTGAACTTAGAAACAAAATAATTTCAGTCATATATATTAATTTTTCTAGCTATTGCAGTATACTTCTTTTTTTACTACGCAGGAAGGTAACAAAATTATTGACACACAGCTGAGAGGGAAATACCAATTTTTCAATAAAAATGAATAACCCAACTTGCATTTCGCATACCGCAAAGAGCTGATTTCGAAAGCTGTACCCAGGTAACTGTTATGTGTCGTAAAACTTAAGCCTACATTTTGAAGACAGTAACCGAATAAAAAAATGAACTTATTAATTGTTAAACAGAAAATTATGTGGCGACTTTCTGGCAATTCAGCTTTCTCTTTAGTCGTTTGGTCGAATAGATAACCATTGCGTGTTAAAAATAAACCTATACATGCCACCTTTCAATTTAAAACCTGGCTTTTTTAACATTTAGTTTTGACGTTACTTAAGAGCAATCGCTGAGATCGCATGAGATCGTGTTTCCAAACTCTCTTTTATACCTTCCTAATTTTTTTCCGGCTTTGCCTTTGTTCGTTAAGATGTTCAAATCTGCAATGTGGGTGGTGAGAGAGAAATCTCCCCTTCTAACGACAGGTCATAAAGCAATTTATTTTTATTTCCAGCTAGAGTATTCCCACCAAGCTACTGCGTGATATGCTAACTATATAAGTATTTATTCACATCTTCGTTTTATCGCTCACATTCTACCTGGAAATGCAAAAGCGAAATTGAATTTGTCCACTATAATGTCTTAACCGTTAGGCGCTTTTGTTCGCTATCCTTGAGTTAAAGTCAATTTTGAAACTGGTAACTTGCAAATTTGCGACAATGGCTAAATTAAAATTTTTGTTCGCGATAGCATAACTTCCATTCTAAAGCTTATGAAGTAATATTTCTATTCTCGGATCATCTTATAAAAATACAGAAAATTGACTCCTAAAATTGTGCAGAAAGCTGTGATGCAAAGATCAAGATGCAAACGGTAAAGATCTATATGATTTCGTACTTTAAAGATGAATTTGGTTGAAAAAGCAGTTTGTGAACCCTGTATATTGAAAAATTTGGCTAAACTATTAATAGCACATTAATTTTTTATGGTTGAATGTCAAAGCTCGAGAGTCGATTTAATTGTACTTAATAGACCTCCTGGATTTTGTTACGCAAGGGTTTATTATATTCAGTGTATGCATATTGTCGTAGTTGTAATAGTAGGAAATATCAACTGGTATGAGTGAATGAGTAATTGATTTTTGCCACAAAAATGCATGAGTAAATACAATTTTTCGCCTTTCGCAAATATCAATTACTTTTCATGTAATAGCTTATAATTATAGTGACACTCATTCTGTCCGAACTGTCAACTGTCGGTGCAGGTAAACCTGTAAAGTTTATATATCTTAGTATGCAAAATTTAACCTTGAAAACAAACGTGCTTTAGGTAGCTGCAAAGTTCTTATGTCAATCAATTGTGTTTTTGTTACGCGTGGTCGAGCATTTTCGAATAAGTAGTAAAATAAGTTAAGGTTCACAGAGGAAATGTTTGAAATTTTTACTAGTCACTGATGATAAATATTTTAAGTTTTGTACATTTTCAAGTATTGATCTATTGAGTAGAAGACCAACTCGACTACTGCTGATTGGCTGGATAAGGATCATCCCACTCCGGTTGAAGGCGTGTGCAAGTGTCACTTGTGAAAACAATAAAAATATAAATTATTAATTTCTATGGAATTGCAATTTGCTTTTTAATTTACTACGGGAAAGTTCATATACGAACTGCAGAAGAAGACTTATTTAGAAAGAAGTTATATAGACATAACTGCTATATGATTATTTCCAGGATTGCATTTTTATTAAAATTTTCATTTTCTTGTCTACAAGTGTGATGATTTCCTTTCAGTAGCGTAGCCAGCCTAACGATTTGTCCCGCTATGCTAGTATTTTGGTGTTCATTAACTGTGAAAACAATGAATTTCTAAAGAAGTGGATAATTATAATAACTCGAAATTTACATAGCGGGACAAAATCGTCAGGCTGGCTACGCCACTGTTTTCTCTGTGCAACAGGTGTATGATGTCTTTGATCTATTGTATACGAAGAACAACTGCAACAAAATAAAACAATGTAGGCATGGACAACTTCATGAATGTATAGCATAATCCGATAATCAATATACATATATTATTATCAAGCGCAAGTTAAAATAACTTGCTGCAGCACAATAATCGAATTGCCTTAGAAGTGACAGTCATCAATCATCAGACAATCATTTGGAATATATTTTTGTTAATATCCCTAAAACAAGTGTCAGGAAAATCCACGTCACTGCTACTAACAACACCTGCACGCATATTTTTTTATGCTAAGCATACTCGACTCCATAGCAATACATGCACGCATACCTGCTATATCTTCATGTATTATTTGTCCGGAGAGAAAGCTGGATTATGGCTGTTGGCTATTTCATCAGTATGATACTCATATTCACCTTGAATGTGTTTTTCTTCATCTCGGGAATTTGCCTAAATTCTTTGGTCATTCTCAGTATCTGGAGATCCTCGCAACTACGAAAGAAATTATGTCATTTTATGATCATGGTTCTGTCGTGTTTCGATTTACTCGTAGTTGTAACCAACCATCCGTTGATTGCTTATCTCGCAATCCTTTGGCTTTTCAAGGAAGATGAAGCACACACTAGCCCTGTGGTTCGTTTTATTAATCCGTCAAGTATCTTCATTGGCCTTTCGTTGCTCGTTCTTCTGGTTTTGAACATCGATCGATATTTAGCGGTATACTACCCGATCTTTCATCGCAATTCGGTGACAAAGAGAAGACTCCTAGCTTTGCTTGGGGCATTTGTTCTCTTCCTTTTTGTCGTACTCCTGATGTATTTAAAATTCGTAATTCCTTTTCGCGTCGCTGTCCTAATTTTCCTCGTAACATTCACTCCACCGCTGTTGTTTATCAACTACAAACTTTTTATGATCACTAAGAGAAACCGTGTGTCTCCGGAGATGAAAAAGACGTTTTCGATAAAGAGTGTATCAAGTTGCGTGCTGGCTGTGGCTTGCTTTGGGTTGCTGTCAATTCCATCGTTTATAAACGCAGGATTAAAGATCAAATCTAAGGAGAAGGATATTGATCTTGTTACAATCTGGACAAAAACCATTGGCTCAATGAATGGAACTTTTAACTGCTTGATCTTTTACTGGAAGAACAAGATATTGCGAATTGAAGGAATGAAATTTATCAAAGTCTTAAAAACCATTGGAAAATAATACGCTATAATATTATGTCAACATGTACAGAATTGAAGTCTTTATTTCTTGGCTAAAAATTACCTTTTGGATAGAATTATATCACATGCACATTAAATTTACAAGAGACAGGCTGCGGTTAAAAAAAACGGTCATGACTGTTGTTGTCTGAACGAAAATAGCAGCTACATAAATATATAGTTGCGCTTTGCAACGTTGCGGCGGTTACAATTCCACTCCACCGTAATCATATAATGTATAAAAGTAGTCTGCCTCAGAAACTTGGTCACTAAACGAGTATTTTAATGATCTTGTGAAATGAGTAAATTAAGCCTAATGCATATTAGGGATTGTGTGCAACAAAGTTATGAATACTAATTAAGATTGGATGCACGAAAGTTAATAATTGATGTGAATTACTAATTTATAAGACCTTGATGGAGAATTAAAGACATTGTATACATATGACTAAAATACCGCGCAATGATTGGAAGTTAGAATTAATAATTATTCAAGCATTTCACAATAATTGTAACGATACCTTTGGCGTTAACTTGAAAGCCACTGACTTTGCACCATAATGCCCCTATGGCTATACATAGTTACATTACACATAATTATGTTAAAGGTGGGTTACAGTCGCAGTAATGAAACGAAAGTTAACGCTTTGTTTGCATAATTTATTGAATCGCTATACTTAATTGTCTCTTAAAATGTCCTGTTCAGTCTGAATATTTATTACCAATACAGTTCACTGTAATTCTAAATTAATAGGGTTTATGTCAAAAAACCCAAATATGCAAAATTTAGGCAATTCCTAAATCAGAGAGTAACCCGATTTTATGAGCAGAACCAATGCGCAGAAGCCGCTGTAACCTTTCTATAAAGTTACTTTTCTTGCCATTGTACAGCCTCGTACCCAGGCGCTTTAATAGTAAAATATAAACCACTTATTAACCGAATTTGAGGTCCGTACTAGAAAAATATCAGACCGAGGTCTTGACAGTACGAACCGACCGACCGAGCGATAGCGAGGTCCGTACATAAAAGACCGGGGTCTGATATTTTTCCAGTATGGACCGAACGTATTCGGTTAATTAGGGATTTATTATTAAGCACTGAAGTGGCTTCCAAAACTTTGTTTTTTACACGTTAAATAAAAATGATACAGTAATATAAACAAAATCAAAGATGAATAAATATAATATTCACATGTACCAAATAATGCTCTTCTTGGTCCATTCTCCGTCGATATTTTTCGTGTCAAAAATAAAAGTGCAAGCTTGTTTTTGTTCAAAAATATGACAATTGGACCGTTACTACGGCAACGGTCCAATACTGGGGGATTCCAGACCGGCAAAGAACCAATCAGCGCACGCCATTTTAGTCACCGCGTGCCATATAATAAATAGTTATATTACACACAATTATGTTATTATGGTAAAGGTGGGTTACAGTCGCGGTAAACGAAAGTTAACGCTTTGTTTACATAATATATTAAATCGCTATACTTAATTGTCTCTTAAAATGTCCTGTCCAGTCTGAAT